CTACAGAAGAGAAGAGAATTTTTGACTCAATGTTATGGGATGTCAAAGAAGGAAAACCCGGACAGCTTCAGCTCAGAGCCGGCATTTGCCATGGGTGAAGCTGTGGCTGGATCAGGCAGTATGTTCAGAGCTCCCTGGCATCTGTGCTTAAAAGGAACCAGCCATCCTTGCGATGGCTGTGAGTGGCAATACCAACACAGGGGAGTGAGCCTCCCCAACCCATGAGAAGAGAGAGAGCGACCACCTTTTACAAGATGCATTTAAGTTAATGACCCTTTCCAGTTTACAAAATAGAGTTGTAATGACCCTCAAAAAGCAAATGCTCTACCCAAGCACCCTGCCACACCCTCCCTCCAGAGTCATAGGATTAAGACATTTCAGATCAACTGTTCAAAAGACTGGATTGCACATAGCCAACTCAACAGCAATCCAAAAAGTCCTGTTTCTTCTGCTTCTTTAAAAAATATTTTTTGAGTGTGTATGGAGGGGTACTTTACAAGTTTGGTTAATAAATATTAACTAATTTTATAATCAGAGAAAATAAAACTCATTTTTTGGAAGTTCCTTATGCCAAAGGCCAAAAAATTAAAAATCCCCAACTTGGTTGCTTTCTTAGTTGACTACCTGGTAGTAATTAGGCATTGTGCAGACACCAACCAATCCTTCTAATGTGCGATCCCGTTCAGACCAATTCACCAAATGAGGACCCAGTTTTGGGAGCAGATTGCCTTGCCTGTCTCTACACTACATCCCTAAGTTGCAAAACGGCTTCCTTAGGAAGACAAACTTTTCTTCAGGTGTTTGCACGCGTGTGGGTTTTCACTGAAACCACAGTACAGAGGAGTGCTTGATAATGCATGCTTTTTGTTCTATGGGGGCAGGGTCAGGAGGGCAGGACAGGGATGGGCAGGGGGAGTGGGCCTGCTCTCCAAATCCCAGCTCCAATGCCAGCCTGCCAGACTCTGCACACAGACATGACAGGGGATTGTCAAAATGCACCACAAACAATGTGGCTAATGTACCGAGATCCCCAGCAAAGAAACTCAAACACAAGTGAGGAAGAGCAAGTCCACATGGAGTCCTGGAAAAGGAACAGCTTTGGGAAACTTTGATCTGCTTCCTACGTTGATCCCCTTCTCCATAGAGATCAGAGAGATGGGGCACAAGGAGAAAGAAAGAACGGTCTCTGGCTCTGCCCTGGAATAGCCTGTGAGCAGTTCAGGCAGAATTTCTTTACACAATAGATGAGTGAAATATGAACCACACTGCCAACATCAGCAGGACAAGCAAGCCCTGTGTATCCCACTCAAGAGGGGCCTAGACACATTTCAGAAATAGCAGGGACTCTGCAGACTGGGACACTAACTCCTGTCCTGGGTCGACAGTCACAAAATAAAAGTTAATTTTTGTTTTGCAAGGTAATGCTAAGCACTGAGGGGAATGGGACAAATCGAGCCCCTTCTGGAATCATATGAACTGGTCATAATTCTGACAAGGGTGTAAGGACACCTTACCTAATCAAGGATGTTCTCAAAAGTAATAATCATCATCATCTCATCTAAGTAACAGATAAAGAGCCGACTCCCAGAGAGATCTAACCAATGGCCTCAGATCATTCTGTGGCACAAACAGGACCCAAACCCAAGTCACCAGACTCCTGGGCCCATCATCATCATCATATGTTCAAATGATCAATGAGTGTCTCTGAATTCTGGGGTTTTCCCTTTCCTGGGCTTTTGCAAAGGGTGTGGACAAGTCCCATCTCAGGGTGTATTCACACCACTTGGACAAGATGGAATAAACAAAAATTAAAATGTTTTTCTAAAGTTTGTTTCATTTGAAAGCACAGGGAAGGAGTTGATGTGTCAGCTGTTTTGGAGAAGGGTTCAAACTTGTGTCCTGTGGATAAACCCGCAATGTAATGTGTCATCGTTCGAAAGTTTTCTTTTGGCTTATTTAATTTTTTAATGTATTTTTATTGATTTCAGAGAGGAAGGATAAGAGAGAGATCAATGATGAATTTGATTGGCTCCCTCCTACACAACCCTCAACGGGGACTACCTGGTAGGACCCAAGCCAGGCATATGCCCTTGACCAGAACTGAACCCATGACCCTTCAGTCTGAAGGTTAATGCTCCATCAACTGAGCCAAGTCAGCTAGAGCTAGCCTTTTATTTTTTAATTAAAATTTTTAATTCTCTCCTTAGCCTGGAAATTGGAAGAAATGTATCAACAAAGGAGTTGATAATGGCTGTTGTCCAGCAGAGACCACAAAAATGGTTCTAGATTTGGGGTTGGATTTGGGGTTGAGGGTAGGGCAATGTCACAAGATTACATGGAGCAATAATTCTAAATCTTTGAAATGTAAGTAAGACAATTCACCATCGTGAGGGAAGTATCAGAGGCAAATAGTGGATGGCATTTGAGTTTGGGTGCTTTAATTTTACGAACAGGTATTTTACCACTCAGTCAGGCACCGAGTACCTGGGCAGCATCTGCTCCCCTCCCGGAGCCCTAGACTCAGGAAATACTAAAATGAAATTCTATGACGAGGAACCAGCTTTTTGAATAATTTTAAAAACAGCAAAGTTTAGAAAACAGACATTGAGCTCAGAAGGCAGGCTCTGGGTCTCCCCACTTCTGTGGCCCACTGTCTGCCTGGCAACCGGCCCGGGGGCCCAAATGGGAACCGCACGCAGATTTTGTGAAAGGGGAATAACACGTAAATGTCACAAAGTAAGAATGAGACACTGCAGTCTTGGTTTCTCTATCTCCTGATCTGCTTAAAAAACAAAAAGTGGTTTTAAATGGACTTCAACATAGACCCTCGCTAGGTACTTGCTGAATACATAAAAAGCTTTAGATTCAAATTTTTTCCTTCATAAACTTCACTGTTAGAAATATGAGAGGAGTTCACAAATACCAATGCTGTGCAATAACCACATGGTATTTTTCTTCTATTATGTTGGCTTTTAAAGTGTTTTAGAGAAATAACCCAAATTTGTGTACATATTTCTCAAGTAATCTATGGATGAGCTAATGCAACTATTTCAAAACTGAGGCAAAACAGGTTGAGAGTTAATTAGAGGTACAGTACTCAAAAATATTTAAGCAGTGTTGTAGATCAGCGATCTTGTTACGTTTTTCTAGGTGAAACCTTCTCTAGGATTGCTCTCCTATGTGACTTATATTTACTTTAATTGAAAAGCAAAACCATTGAAACCATGAAAATATATAACCTTCTAAGAAACTGAATCATTGCTATCATATATATTTTTCAAATCTCTCATATCTTCTTGCAAAATCTTAGAATGTTGGCTCAATATACAGGATGATAACATGACATTTCCCTGAAGAAGGAATAAGGTCCAATATGCCACTACAGTACCTAAAACAAATGGAGCTAGAGTACTGAGTTTGGGCTTTTTTCTGTGTGCCCCCCCAACCCCCGCCTTTCCCCACCCTAAGAATGTCAGGAATGTGAACTCCCTGTTCTTAAGGTGAAAGGGCATTCATTAGCTCAGATCTGTGTGTGAAGAAGCGAGGTGGCGAATCCCGAGACACTGGAACCGTACCATAAAATCTCCCGAGTTTCAGATGGCAATAGATGATGATTTCCTTCGGTGCCACCAAGGCAACGGAAAACAACATTGGGAGTGTAGATCATGAATTAGGACCCAGTAAGATCTCCATCTGCACCTCAGTGATTCTCGACTCCTTTATTTCAACATTTAGCTTTAGGTTTAAAATATTTGCTAAGAGAAAGCAGAAAGGTGATTAACAGAAGTTCTTAAATGTGTGTCATAATTACACATTCGGTCAACAGAGGAAAAGGAAACTATACAGCATACGTTACAAAATGGTTATTTCGTGTCTCGCAAACATTCCAATAAACTCTCCATGTGGTATTATTCGACAGTAGAAAAGCAACAGAAAGGACCTCAAGAGCCAGCCCAGCTCCTTCAACGTCTTGCAGAGAACAGCGAGGAACCCCTCAGTGGCAGTCCGCCTGGGAATCTCAGCAAGGACACCTCCTGGTTTCTCCTGTGAAGAGACTGGCTATCCCTTCAAGATGCACCAGGAAGAGGGAGCTGCAGCTCACTGAGGGGCCCCGGAAGCTACTCCCACCCCCGCATAAATAAACCCTCGGGACTGCATGGAAGGCTCTGAAGAACCCCGTTTCCCAAAGGAACTAGCGTGGATGGCCTGGGATTCGCATGATCTCCTAGTGAGTAACTTCATGTGTTTGGGTGTAGTTACTTGTTAAACTTCTTTTGCTTAAATTAGCTAGAGCTACTAGGTTCTAGAAGAGCGTGGCCATACGTTAGACACTTTAGATGTTATTGGGTTGTTTTAAAATATTTTCACTTTATTTATTTTATATTATTATTATTCCAACAGATTAGGTGAAAGGCAGTGATCACTAACACAGAGTACAACAGAGCTAACAATCAGCCAGGCTGCTCCCCGGGACCAGGGCTGTCCGGCCTAAGGCGCTGACATGCATGTCGGTAGCTCATACACTGCTACCCTCATAGCACAGGCTGCGGGAGGAGTGAGTGGAACGACAGATGCTGCTGTACCCTTAGAAGCTATTTAATAAATATCATCAAAAAACAAAAGGGAAAAGAAGCCCTCTGGAGCACAATCACCTTAGGTCAATTGAATATTATCTAGTTTATTCAACCAAAAATTGAGAGAGAAGAAAAATATTAAACAAAAAAGAAAAAAAGCAGATCTTAACACTAGCAGTAAATAAATTTGTACAACGATTCAGTCTGTATAATATGATGAAATAAATCTACATCTTTTCTTATTTTGGTGCTTTGAATTATACATACAAACAACAATTACAGGGACTGGATCACGCAGCATGTAGGCCTGGGAAAAGGCTATCTGAAACCCTCGATGGCAAAATGTGAGTGTTACCACGGATTGCCCGAACTGATACAATATCCTAAGCAGAGGCCCACAGCTTTGAACAAATGATTCGCCTACGACTTTTTTTTTTTTTTTTTTTTTTAATGCAATCAAGCACCTGTGGCCAGTGAAGAGAAACAAAAACTGGCAGTTTGTTCATTTGGACATCAGACCTAGTTTCTTCTTAATTCCCATACTTGATTTCCCCCATCTTCCTTAAAATTCTTGGCATCCTTCATGCCTTCCTTACAGCTACCCAGATGCAATAAAGTCTTCTTCAAATGTACAGTATTTCTTACATTATAAGTTATATGCAATGTTCAGCATTATTTTTTTTTTTTTCACAGCACTAGAGAGACCCTGTTAAATAGGGAACATGAGTCTGAATGGCTTATTCACAAATGGGATCCAGATTCAGTGATTGGGAACGCAGACGCCACAGTGAGCTCCTCAGCAAAAGTGGCAAACGGTTTGCCTTCTGCCTTCAGAACGAACAGATATCCATCGGTTCTCGGTTTCATGATATACTCCTGCAGAAACGCACACGGAAGGGGCTGGAGGCACTCTTGCCTGGAGGCCTTTGAGCATGGAGCAGAGACTCTAACCCATGGCGGTGACCATACTGGAAGGGTGGTGAGGTCCAAAGGAGAGGCTGGACGGCGGGTGCATCGGCGTCGGAGTGGTCAGCATGTGGCTGGAGTGGCTGAAGGGCGAAATGTGGCTGAGGGAGGACATGTGTCTGGAGAGGGCGGCCGGGTTGAAGGAGCTGCTCTTGGGGAAGTCCTCCAGGGTGTCGTGTACCTTTTTGCACTTTTTGGATTTGCTAGACATTTTCCGGTTTCGGGTCTGGATGCCTTCCTTCTTCATAGTCAGGGGTCTGTTAATCTAAACAAAGATCAATTTTTTTTTTTTTTTTTACTTTGTTGCTGGCTCTGAAAAGGCACAGGCTCCTGCCCACTCCAACACAGGTCCCTCTGACCGCCCCGCTCAGGGCTCTGCTCTCCCGGGGCCCCTCCCTCCCGCCCCCTCCTGCCCCTTCCTGGGGACCCAAGGGCCCACGGCTAGGTCAGCGGCGGAGCTCTGACTGCCAGCCTCTATCAGTTTCCGAAACCAGGAGATCAAAGGAAAAAGGTGTTCCAAGCAGAGGTTATTAATCATGTTCATACCTATCGGTCATGTGGGGGAATCTGCCTACGGGAACTCTGCCTTCCCAAGGACCACATTCTAGAGACCTACCTAGTATGACTGTATTTCCCTAAAATATAATAACTTGTCTTACTTTGTTAGAATTTCCTGAGACTATTTCATCAGGATGGAGGCCGCTTCAAGGGGGAAATAACGCTGTCTCCTCTCCTGATCTCCGTGTTGGACTAAAAAGCACTGCCGAGGCGGCCAGAAGTGTTGATGTGCATCTGCTTCGGGAAACCATGACTACCCCAATTCGAAGTACATTTTGGCTGCCTCCCTCCTACCTGGCCTTTGGCAAGGAGAGGTGCTGTCAAATCTGCCCCGGGAATTTGTATGCTCTGGGGTCATATTTTAATACAACCTATCTTTTCAAAGGGTCATCCCTTGTCCCTCTTACAGCAACTGTAATGACTGAAAAATCACAATTTCTACCTAGTTCTGACTCTCCCCTTCTAACTAGACAAACAGCTAAACCACTTGGGGGATGCAAAGCACTGTCCTAGCATGAAAGTGCTCTCATCCTAAAAATCATAAACCAGGAAACTAAAGACAGAGACAAGCAACAACTCGAAAGATCGCAGGTCTTCAGCCTCTGAGACAGCATACCACCTCTCTCTTCTCCATAAGACTCATTGGTTTTCTTTTTTACAATAGATACATTTGCTTTGCAGGGGGGGGGAGGGGGGGGGAGGGCCTGAATCAAGAGAGGGGACATTACAAAGCCACAGAGACCACTCTCCATGAGGTGTCAGACAAATTAACCGCAGCAGCAGTCATCTGTCCTGTGCAGCAAACCACATCTGGCCGTGTTTCCAGGGAAATGTGGCAAAGCAACTCAAGGAGGGAATGTCAGGGTCTCGGTCATTCCTGACTCCTTGGGGGAAAAAACATCCTCAAGGGTGAGAGGGGGAAAAAGAAGTTTCTCATGGCTCTAGGATCTACCTGTTTGTTCCAAAAACAAACCAACAGCAGTTAAGGAAGAAAGAATTCAAACAGCCAAGAGGGACAGGCTGCTGACTGCGCTTCTGAGAGCAGCAAACACACAGCTTCCTGGAGCTGAGCTGGAAGAGGTCACGGGGGTGAGTGGGGTGGGAGGTGGGAAGTGGGGGGAGGGGGAGTCGGGGCAGGGACAGTGGGGGGTACAGAACCTCACACTGGAGCTGAGACCTGATTTCCCCTCGTGCCAGGAAGGCAGCGTAAGTGATGGCAGAAGAACTAAAAGGTCGTTGCCAAAAGAACATCTCTGGGTTCCTTCTAAGTTATAATCAAGGTAAAGGTGCTGCCTACAGAGGTGATAGGAATCTACTGTCACATCAAATCTTCCCCCAGATAATGTCCAGACACACAGCTCTTTGCCCGGATATCTAGATACACACACACACACACACACAGCCTGATATCTAAATATAATATCTGGTTACACCGATAGCCACACAAACCCAGATAACTAGTCCCAACACCACCTAGATTCACTGATACTGAGATAGGTAGTTATCGAAACACCCAGATAAGCAGAAAGGGAACTAACTTATGGCATACTTATGCAGGTATCTTGATGGGCAGAACCAACAACAAACCCAACGAGAATGTTAATGGATTAGTATCTCTCATTGTTAAATAAGCATAGATAGCCTCCTTTTGTGAATTCTTATTAAACCAGAGAAGACAGAAAAGCACTCTTACTGATGAGCAAGTTTCTCTCCCACAGGAGCCCACCCATGCAGTCATGAGCTAATTAAGAATAGGAGAAGGACGAGCGGTGAAGAGAGTTCCTGGACTTTTCTTTGATTTGATGAGAAATCCATAATATTCAGAAACATTTCTCTTAGGTTGGACTCAAGTAAGATCATATCTCATCATGGCTAAGGAGTCAAAGAAACTTAAACCTGGTTAATTTCCCATACTTCTGTGGAACTAGGGAAGATATATGCAAACACACACAATTCACTGCTTTGAATTGAACTCGGGTACATTCTAAAACGAGAAGGCATTGCATTTCCCCTGGTCCCCATCAGTTCTGATGCTCCCCAGGAAAGCCACCTGCTTCTCTGAAATCGGCCCTGCCTCTGCCACTTCCCCAGCCATCTTCCCTTGCACAAGTTACTTGCTTCTCTGAGTCATAATTTCTCTAAGTAAACCGGAAATAGAAATAATTTCTGCTCTGTCTACCTCATGAGACTATTTGAGGCTCCACAGCAATCAAATAATATGAAAAGTTCTTTGAAAATCATAAATTACAACCCCAAAATAATTTTATAGGCTGTGCTAATGACTGGATAACTCATAAACTCTAATGCCCCAAATCTTTCAGATTCTCATCACAAATCTGTTCTCTCCATTGCAGTGAGCAAGCAAATTCCCCTGATATCGGACATAACTTCAATGCTGATAAGTGTATGCAGACACAGTCCAGGGACCTGAGAAAGAAGAACAGACTCTAGGAAGACCTGAGTTCCATCAGTGCTGGGCTTGCTCGGGCCCGTAGCAAGAGGGTGACACTGAAGGCAGGGAGGTGAGTTTTGCAGGCTCTCTGGGAATCTCAGCAACTTATGCCCAAAAGGCAAAAAAAAAAAAGACAAGGGTGCTGGGGTCACCCTAAGAAGTTCTCCTGTGACTCAAAAAAATTTAACCAGAAATACTTCCTCCCCAATTCCTGGGTAAGAAGAGGTGACTGCCAGAATGGCCGTGAGCAAAAAGCTCTGCCTTTTCCCCCATTCAGCCCCAGACTTTGCCAAAGCCAAATAACACCTGACTTTGGGAAAATCTGATGGAGCCGAAGAAGGGCGTGACAGCAAGAGGGAAATGACAATTCTGTCTTTGGGACGAAGGCAAACTTCGGGCCTCACTAGGTCAAAGCCTTTTAGCCAGAGTTGTGTGTGTGTGTGGGGGGGGGGGGGGGGGGGGGGGGGAAGGCAAAAACACTGTGACATGGGAGGTTCCCAAATTAAAATGTTAGAACTGACAAAGCTAAACCCAGGTGACTGACTGACAATTATCATTCTGCTAACATGGTATATATCGATAGAAGGAGAAAAGCAGGATTTCTTTTCCCTAGTCTGGGTAAGGCTCTGGGATCCTCCCTCAACTTTCCTCAGTTCTTTGCTGATTAGGACAAAGCCCACAGATGAGATCTCTCAGACATTTCATCCCGTGTCTTCTACCCAGAGAATCCATTTAAAATTCACGGTGCAGGGTAAGCCAAGACTTGCCCCTCAGTAACTGGATCTCGGTCCTCTGCGCTTCAGAGATTTCTGTGCCATGCATTATAATCCTAGTTACTTTTTCCCTCTTTTTGCCAGAAACACAAACACAGAAAACATCAAAATATAAATCGTGACTTGTTTTTGTTTTCCAGAAGTTTAACCCAGACTCAAATCCACCACCCATGTTAGATTGCTCCATTATCTGCAGTGTTTCCTCATAGTCTCCACACGTACTAAGGGGGCTGGATTGCATGTCCTTAAACCCTTTGCTCTCTGAGGCTACGCTACAGAGCAGTTCCCTACACCGGTCCCGCTGCACTGATGATCGGAGGCTTGTTGTCTGGCCCAGAGGACGGCGTGCAGATGGACAAGGGGGGACCTGGGACGGGTGACGCTGAGCACTGGGCATCGTCAGCCAGGGAGACGGCGGTGGCTGGCTCCCGTGACACTTACATTGTGCAGCTTGTAGTAGAGCCCGCAGGCGTTGCAGACAGGGTCCCCGTTGGCATTCCTTCTCCAGAGCGTGGTAGTGGTGGTTTGACAGTTTGCACAGGACGTTCCTGCTCTTCTTGCTGCCGACTGGGGAGTGGGGGGGGGGGGGGGGGGGAGAAATCAAAACAAATGTTAAATGTGTTTTCAGAACTACAGAGACAGACTTAAAAAAATTATCATTGAAATCAAAACTAGCAAGTGGCCCACATGAAAGTAAGGAAGATCCCCAAAAGCAGCCTCAAAAAGAAAAATACAGAAGATCCACTGGCAGAGGAGCGTGCCAGCCTGCAGCCGCATGGTCAGAATTTGGCCTGCTGCGCTCCCGGGTAGGACTTGGGAGGATTGGGAAGCTGAAGCTATCCTGAGTCCGTTTCCCCCTCTCCCTTAGCACACAGAGTCCACCAGATGTTTCGTTTTTACGGGTGGCCACTCTGCATTAACCAGTAGCCTCCTTCGCCAGGCCTGCAAGAGGCCTTTTTCAAATGCAACCGCTCAGATACGACTTCTCAGTGAGGCGCCTGGCCATCACAGTGACTAAACAGCAAAGTAAGCACAGTCCCAAAGGCACCAAAAGCACTTCGCAGACCCCTGAGGAAACAAGGCTGGCTTATGGAGAGCAGAGTGCTAACGGAATGAGGATGCCTGTGCCTGGGTGAGCTTGCATCCATGGGTGCATAATTCAGGAAGCACCAAGCAGGACACCCGGTGCGAACAAGACCTCAGCAAATGTGCTGCAGCCCTACATTCACGCAGCCCGCGCTCAGCCTCTGTCACTCACGGTGACAGCCATCCTCGTCCTCTCTAGGCAGCTTCTAGTTAATGAGACAAACTGGAAAGAGGGGATTTGGTCTTCGACAGGAACGTGGCCCGTCCTCCTACTCTCATCTCATCCCACCTTCTGGAAATTAGGTATTTCCTATTTGCTGTTCACGGAGCACAATAGCTGCGGGTCAAATGTCAGCCTCAACTTGAATTTTAATTATTTGATTGTGTCACTGCCTTCATTTCTTTTAAAAGAGAAATTTATCTTGCACTTTCTTTTGGCACACATGTACAAGGGGGACTATTCTCCATGTCCATACTGTCAAAAAGAAAATTAAAACTCAAAAACATTTGGGGGGAAAATGGAGTTGGGTCACTTCTAACATTCACCTCTCAACTCCTCAGCCCTGTCCCCCACAACATAAAAAGAAAAAGTTAGCCACAAAATTATTCCTGCCCCTGAATTCAAAAATATTATGACAGGCAAGAGGAGGAGAAAGAATTCAGCTAGCTTGATTTAAAAAAAACAAATTTTTTTAATCTGGCATAGGTTTAGAAGCATAGGACAAAAGGGACAGAAATTGTGGCGTATTTTTCCATCAATATTTTTCAGAGATTTGAAGCTGCTGGGTATGGAAAACCCAGTGGCCATCTGAGTTAACCAGACTGCTTCCTTTCCTTTCAGAGCCACTAAACTGCCCCATAGACACGCTCCTCCCTCCTACAGGCTTAACTGGCAGAGCCTCTCTTTTTGCAGTAGTAGCACTTACTTTCTGCATTCTAAGGAACTGGGAATTAAAAACAGTCCTTACCTATCATAATCCAAAAGGTCCTACTTTTTGGAGGTCCGCTTTAAAAATAACTCAATACACCCTGCCTGCCTCTAACACCACCTGCCTTTATGAAACATGATACTTTAATATTCAAATAACTGGTTCTTCTGTAGTCTTAGAAAGGAAAAGAATACATTACATCAGTGTTTAATGATTTTGACAATTACATTATTATGTGATTATTATGATCTTCCTGTACTTTTTTTTCCCCCTTTAAAAGAAATACGCGGATATAGTAGACTGATATCTACTCAGGACCGGAATTCCCAGCCCAGCAACTTGGAATGTATCGCACAAGCACAACGGGCCAACTGGTAAAATCAGAGCACATTGGCAGTTTCATAAACAGGAGCAGACTCAGAAAGCGTGTCTGGTCTACGGACTTTCTGCGAATTTATGCAGAACTTCCCAAAGCCACACTGTTTGTTTGATTCACTAGCAGGAGACAAAGTACATTAATAAAGCAAGCTACTCCGCTGGTTGTCCGACCTACGAAAAGCCTGGCCCGGCAACACTGAGGAAAGAATTCTATGGCTCTTCCCTTCGGTCACTTCTCCCATTTCCTGAGTGAGTTTACTCAGTGTTAGATATGCATCTGACGGGGAGCTGGCTACACGTTGGGCTGGGTGGCCTCAGTGAATCTGCAACTGTGCAAAACATGAACATAACAATCTGGAGACACACAGCTGGAATGGAGGGTCAGGAAATATAGGAGAGAAGAAAAAGAAAGGTTCTAGGTACTCAGAAGTCAAATGCATCTAAGGGATAAAAAAAATTAAAAAAAAAATCCTGAATTTGCTCCGAGTGTCTGTTGGGACAGAGCATATGAATTCTATGGAACTAAAAATATAAAACCACCCGGAACAGATGAGTAAGACAGAAAAGATAGCTGAAAAAGTGACAGCCAATGAACTCTAGAATTAAAAGTAATTATTACTCAGAGTCTAGCGATTGCTTCTGAAAGGTGAATGGAGACAGTGTTATATAAAATGCAAGGAGAGCCTCCTGTGCAATCAGACAGAAGAAACCCCAAGAAAACGTCAAATGTACTCTGGCTCATCAATCCGCCCATAGCCTGAGACTTTACGTCCCCTTTTTCCTTCTTTATTTTTTTTACCTTAAGGAAAAAAACTCAATTGTAATAGTACCATGACTTATTTTTAACAAGAGGGTTTTGTTGTTAGTTTTTTCTTTTCTTTTTTTTCTTTTCTTTTTTTTTTTTTTTAATGAAGGCCAGGTTTTGAGTGATTCAGAACATTCTTTTGTGGTGTGATCATATTCATTCTGTGCTAACACCTCCAGCCATTTTTTTTTTTTTTTCCAAACACGTCTTGTTCTGATCCGTTCAAACATCTTGACGTTTAGGTTAGGGAAGCTGAGTTGTTGTTTATGAGTTATCTCCAGTGCTCAGATATCCGGCAGCTTTTTCCTAGGAAGTTAGCTTTGCACATGAGAGAAAGGAAAAAAAAAAAAAACTACATGGGGACCAGGAGGTTGAGAAAGTTGGAGAAAGGGGCAAAGATCAGAAAGAATAAAGCTTAGAGACTAAGGATTGCCAAAAATTAGTCACGTGGGCACTTCCATCCCTAGAAAGTTTTTCCTTCTTCTGAAGAGGATGTGAAAGGTGTTGAATTGCACTAAAATCTGATGGGAAAGATGCATAATTCTTTTTTTTTTTTTTTTTTAATAGAAAGGATTTAGATTTTTTTTTTTCCCTCTTAAAATTTGATGGATGCTTCTTCAACATTAATTTGCATGGGGAAAACCCCTTCCTCCCCACTCTACATGGTGAATGTCATCACCACAAAAAATATTTTGATTTCTCGACTGTGGTTGTAAAGTTATGCTTTGCCAAGTGTGCTTTTATTTGTCTGTTACATGCACTTGCTATTCAAGCCGGCCTGAGGTTCTGAGGACAAGTTGACAAATGAATTTCTGCTAGTTTCCTAACAAATGCTTGATAGCGCCAGGTTTTCTCCCGTGTTTGTAAAGGGTTAAGAAGTTTAAGAAAGAAAAAAGGGGGGGAATAAAAACTAGCACCCTAGTGATCGTAGTTCAATTGGGGGGGGTGGGGGGGTTTAAGACCAAATGCTGGGTGACACCAAGAGGCAATCTGGGAATCACACAATTTTCCCCACAGGAATTACGTGTGGAAAGTCCTCACTTTCTAAGATGAAAAACTCCACTGCATACAATGTCTTCGGCTTGTGAAATCCTGTTAACTGGCCCCATTAATCACTGGCACAGGAGATTTCACCCAGCACTGAGGCTGTGACCACTTCTACCACCTCAGGACCAAGTTCTAGGGGGTGCCTGGGACATTCTGTTCTCATCCGAGGTTTCTCCATCTGTCAGTCATTATCAAGGCATCTTAAGTCAGTGGTCCTGATCCTGTTCAAGCACTCCTTCTATTAGCGGATATGTTTCAGATTTGATAACCAAAAAATCAACACCCTTAACAATTTGGTAAGTGGCTGGAGAGGAGAATAAGAGAGAAAGCTTTTCTGTGCATCTAATTTGAAAAACGAAAGGGGGTGAGGGGGATACTACCCCGAGCAAGCTGACATGATTTGGAGCTGTCCTGCCAATTTCCTGCAGAAAGCTCTCCTTCCGGGAGAGAGGAAATTAAGAACACCAACTAGTTAGTATTGGATCAATGCTTCTCAAAGACCACTCACCAGCCTTCGCTTGGGCTTGATCAGGGGTCGATTCTGCCCATTCATCTTGTGGTAGAGCCCACAGGCGTTGCACAGGTAGTGCCCAGTGCCATCGCGTCGCCACAGTGGGGTAGAGGTCGCCCCGCAGTTCACACACTCCCTGCCTTCTAGAAACAAGATCACACATAAGTCACTTATGGAAGGAAAAAAACGCAGAAACGCTGATAGCGCACAGAATTAGAGAATGACAGTCAAACAGAGAAGTTTTTTCTCTCTTCTCCCTCTTTTAGGGAACTTTCCCACCCCCATCTCCCTTGAAGGCGGCTGCCATGCTGTAAAGAATTCTTGAATGGCCAGCTCCTGGCCTAACCCATAGGCATAGAAGCGGCCCATGAATATATTGCAGCAGAACCTCGTTCTGGGCCAGATCAATGCTGAGGACCGAGGCAAATTTCAACTTGAAAGAGTTCCCTCAGAAAATTCGGAGCCACCAGACACCCAAAAGCAAACATTCCATTCATTTCCCTTAAAGGAAAACAAAAGTGACCCACTCTCATCAATAAGTCTGTCTATACAGATTGATTAAGTCATAAAGATTAGGATGGGGAGAAAGGGAAGATTGAATCAATGGCAAGATAGGTAAACAGATAGTAAATAGATGAATAGATTGATCAATTGGCTGACTGATTTTAGTGGCCAGGGCTTTTGATTTTACTTCCCATAAAACTGTACATGTCCCTGGCTGCCAAGCAACAGATGAAAACCCAGCAGGTCCCACTCATTTCCACATCTTTTTTTCCTCTAGAAAAGGCCAAGGTTTTGCACAGTTTCCCAGATACTGTGACAAGGACTGAAGTGCCATCTTTGGGCAAGGGAGCTGGAGGGGAGGGGAGGGAAAGGGCCAGGAGAGGGGCAGAGTGTGAGGCAGGAGATCAGAGCAGGCCAGTTAGAGAAAGGGTTTGGGGAGCTCTTGGTCAGCTCATTAACTGGGGCCTGCCCGCGTTGCTCTTTCTCCAAAAAAAAACAAACAAACAAAATCAACAAAAACCGGCCAGGCAAGGTTCGGCAGCATTCACTCAGGGGCAGAAGAATGAGCCAGACCTACCTCCGGAGGGAAAGCTCCTGGGGAGAATCCCTCAAAACAACATCTCAGGACCCGGGGAGTTGGCTTACTGAATGCTTTTCAACTTTCGCAGGAGGAGGACTGTTTCTGTGTGAACTTGTCTGGTTGTTGGGGGCTGCCCTGAGAAGGGACCCCAAAGGAAGGAACCCCGCCTCTATCCCGCGGGGGGCTGCTCTCAATCCTGCAGGAGCCAGGGGCTTTGCCAGAGTGAGGATGACTTTGCTCTCTTTGGGGTACTGGGAGGGAGGCGTTGGGGGATGGGCAAAAGAGAGATGAGCTGCTGAAGGTTGTTTTAGGAGATTAACCAGCTAACTCAAAACTACTAGGAAGACAGGCTGGGCTGAGAGAGGAAAACCCAGCAGAGGGATGGGGAATCTTGACTCCTCGCTGGGAGGGCAAGACTGGCCTGGGGATGGGGCCTGTGCTGCCTCCAGAGACCCCAGACCAAGTAGGAGGGAATCAGAGAGCTTACACCTGTGACCCATGCTTTTCCCCAGAGCTGAATTGGAAGAAGGAAAAGAACGTTTAGGAAATGCAAAAGGGTTTTGTCTGCTTTCACTTTGGAGTCCATGCCAGTATGGAGTTGTTTTTGTTCACTTTCCTTTTCCACAAAATAATGAAATGTGTGTCAAGGAGTTAAGAGAGATCTTATTGTTATTTCTCTTGTTCCAAATTCAAAACACCGCTCCTATCTCAGGGTCTCCACAGATTCTTCCAAGAACCCCCGTGATTATCTACCTAAGCGCAGTCCTGGTGTGCCAGGAGCACTTTCAAGGGGCCCAATAGCCTCCATCAGTCCTCAAAAAAGGCTTTGGACTGAACTGCATCCAGACACCTTTCAGGGGGTCCAAGCCTGCGGGCAGTAGCCGCTGGATGTGGGGGAGGCAGGGAGGAAAAAGGAAGGGGCTCGTGGGTAAGGAGTGCCAGAGGCTGCCAGAGCCAGGAGGCCGGTAAGCCCTGCAGGCTCCGTGCCCCGAGTGGGCACTGGGTCAGTCCCATCCGGGGACAGGGATGCTGGCCTGGCCTGGCTGGGGCTGCCTGCTCTCCATCCTGCCAAGACAGGGGCCGCTCAGGCTCCCAGCCATTTTGTCCCTTTCCTACTTGGCCGCTGGCAGAGCTGGCGTGAGGTTTCTCTGGCTCCCTGCTCCTAAGCACCCTGGGCTGGGGGATCTCCCAGCCTGACTAGAGAGTCTGACTTCCTTTCCTTTGTCAGGCGGTGGGGAGGATGACAGCTTCCTTTTCAGAGGGACCTGAAGAGTTAGCAGCGGCTGCCTCCTCAGCAAAGCACTGACTGCTCAGTAGAGCAATTTTCTGTCTTGATTCACTCCGCAAGTTTGCGATTGACTCGCGTGGGTTTTACTTATTTTTTTTTTCTTTCCTCCTTGTTGCCTCTAGTCCGTGACTTCCACAAACAACCAATTTTCCTAGTGGAGGCCCTGACTGTCTCCTGCTTTCTCTCTCTCCCTCCCCTCACTCACTGGCTGGTGTGAGCAACTCACACAGACACCTCTGTCTTAGGTGACAAGAACCACAAAGCTGCGTGGCCTCTTGACATTCAACAGCCATTTTCAAACACCCCTTCGGCCCCGACTGAAATCCAGAAACTGGGCTGAGGACGGGGTTGGGAGCAGGGGTGGCGATTGTGAAGAGGAAGGTGAAGTGGGATGCCCACAGGAGGTGGGGAGCTAAGAAGTGGCCATCTGCAGAAAGGCTTTGTCTTTTGTCAGCGCCAGCCCTCATTAGAAAAGCAATAGGTGCCCTAACCACAGCTCAACGGTCTCGAAATGCGACAACCCTCTCTTCTCGATCTCCTCCTTGGTAAGTGCAAAGAAGAGTTTTTGTGTGTTTAAAAAAAAAAAAAAAAAAGAGCAACCACTAAAACCAAAAGAATCCCCCTTCTCAAGAATGCCCACCACTTCCACCGCCTTTACACAGAAAATGTCTAGAAACTTCCCCTCCCCGATCCCACACTCCCAAAAGTCCCAGCTCCCTCGATGCCCAGGTGTGCTAACCTTGCTTTTTTGTGCTTTTTTTCTGTTTTAACTGTGAGAAAGGAATAAAAGGAGGAAGTAAAAAGCCAAATTTCAATCAGCTCCTTATCTCTCCCCCTACACACACACACACAAAATAAAACAGGTATACAGGTACCCCTGATTCTGGTTTAGAGAAACCACAGCTCTCCCCACCTCCCTAATGCTCATGTTCATGTTCAGAGCCTTAAGGAAAAAGATGAGAGAAAGAAAAAGACTAAACGGAGAGGCAAAGGTATGCACAACCCAGGGTGAGAAATCAGACATGGGAATGAGGGCAGAGAAACCAGAGGCTTCTGGAAAAAGTACTCTGTCCCCTCCCCCCACACACAAACCACCGCAGGGGCCTCAGATACCACGATCTTCCCCCAAAACTTTTAGCCCTACCAGAAAAGAGAACTTAAAAACCAAAATCCCATCGCTACCTCAAAAGGCACAGGTCTGCTTTCTTTGCAATCAGACCTCAAGCCTTTGATCTGTTCCCAAGTTTTCCACAGAAAACTGCACCCATTTCTCTCAAACCCCCCACTCAGCGCCAAGCCCAGCCCCTGACCAGGGAGCCAGGCTGCTCTCCTGACCCACTCTCCCTCTCGCTTTCTCTCTGACTCCACCAGCAGCCTACCTCCCTCTCCCTCTGCCGGCTTTCATGTACTGAACATGCAGGTCTGAGTTTTTCTGTCAGCCTAACCGCATCCGGACTCTATTAAAGTTCCTGGCTCGGGATAAACAATGCAACTGTCGCGTGCAGCAGTCTGAAAATAATTGGATTAGCAAAAACATATCAACTAAAAAGAGACAGTCCTGCCCAGGCAGTGGGAGTGAATGTCACCCTGGAAAAAACCCGGAGAACTGATCTCCTGGTCACTGGGTGCCCAGAGCCCTCCCTCTCAAGTTTTCTTTCTAAACCGGGGTTTTGCCAGCTCTGCTTCAAGACTGCTCATCTCGCCCATAAAAAAAACAAGTGGTTTTCACCACTTCTCTGTATATAGAAACTCCACAGATGGAGGACAGAGGCAAGACGGTAGGAATGGACCGGGACACTCACCCCCCCCTGAAATGGACACACCCACCACAGAACAGTCTTCACAGAAGCATCTCTAAAAACATAACTGACTCTCATGTCAGCGAATCCCAAACTTTCTGATTCAACTGCTTTGGTTAGAAATAAAATTGGTGGTGGATTCTCTTTTATTATTATTATTATTATTATTATTATTATTATTATTTTGTGTGGGTTGGGAGGTGGTGGACATTAATGCAAGTGAACAAATAAACAGTGCGCTGGTAAGACAGGGTGTGTGCTCTTTGGAGAGAGGATGAGCGGAGGAAGCACAGACACACACCTGGGATCTGTTGCAGTCCTTCCTTCCCGCCTCCTCTGGCTTCAGGTCCACCGAGCGCTATGTCCTGAGACACTTTCCTGTCCTTGCCCCTGCCCTGGCTACTTCTGATTTACATGCAGCCGCTTCCCTAGGACACAGCCTGCCTTGCTGTCCCCAAAGTTACCACGAGAACCCTTATTTCCACACAAAGAATATGGGGGCTGCTCGTGCAATGTCACGCCCAGTGCAAAAAAAAAAAAAGATGTATACATTTTATTTACACACGTCTGTGTAAAGGACCGTCCTCTGTTGACTGAATGACCCCGGGAGAGCAGGGCGGGGAGGAACAGTCAAAGAACTCAGAGGCCAGGAAGGGTCAGAGGAGGGACCTGTGTTTGTTTAGGTTTCAGGAGGTTTCATTTTAGCATTAAACACTCAGGAGTTATTCCCTCGCCTCCCATTTGGTCTTGGAAACTGACGGAAGGTTACAGGCAGAGCCCATAACCCCCCCACCCCTCAGCAGACAGGCAGGCAGGGGGAGGGTTTGCGTTTGTGTTTGTCTCTTTCCTTTCTCCCCGTTGGGGGTTTAATTGGATCCCACTGCCTCGCTGCCCTGAAGACTGGACTGAGAGGGGACACACCTTACTCTTTGCGGCTGTTAGAATGGAAAGAAATCAAATCTGAGGGGTCTGGAGCCGCACCGGGTGGAGCCAGGCTGGGCTCTCCTTTCCGGATCCTGGATTTAGGAGAAGGAAGAGAAGAAGAGGAGGAGGAGGAGCAGCCCCGGGGCAGAGCAGGCGCCTACCTGTGCTGGATCTCGCCTTGGGCCTCGACTTGCACCCAAAGCCGGTGGGAGAGCCCCCCAGCAGGGTGCTCGGAGGGAAGAGTCCGGAGCTGTATTCTGGGACGTAGGGCGGGTAGGTGGTGATGGGGTGATGCGCCGAAGAGGCCGCCCCTCCCAGGGTGGTCATGCTGCCCCTCGAGTGTGAAGACTCCAGCTTCATGCTGTCGGGCAGCGGCACCTGGTACTTGATACACTCCTTCTCATCCTGCCGGCCCGAGCCCGCCGAGCCGGGCGTGGATAGGGACGGGTCCGGGGAGACGTCCTTCGGCGGGGTGGGCGGGAAAGTGAAGAGGTGCGGGCTGGAGTGGCCCGCCGACAGGGAGGAGGACGAGGCCGGGGGATAGACCGAGAGAGGCCCCGGAGAGCCGTGGTGGATGGACGTCTTGGAGAAGGGGCTGAGGTTCCAGGGCGAAGCGGTGTGGTGGCTGCCCAGGGCTTTGCCACCGTCCAGCCAGGGCAGGGATCCGTGCAGCAGCGGTGGGCGACACACCTGGCTCCCTGCGGGGAAAGGGCAGAAGACAGAAAGGCTGGTGAGAAGAGCCCAGAGGCCCTCAGATTCCCCGCCTGCCCCAGTCTCCCTGACAGGAAAATCCCAAACACAGTACCTCATCCCTCCTTCCCACACCAGTGTCCCATCAGCGCCCGAAGAATGAAGGGCCTGGGCCTGACATCCAAGAGGTGCTGAGATGGAGTGAAGAAGGGCCCCTTGGCTTATTGGACTCTCCAGATACACTTTCTAAATCACATCCCCTGAGGTCCCTCTCTAGAAACCTGACTTGATTTATTGGCTTCCTTCACTGGCCGGGGTCCCCCATCCTAGACCTAATCCCAGCCAGCCTGATAAGAGTCAGCTGTGAGTGATGAGGCCTGAAGGGGTGAGCCTGGCTCGGAGCACTCAACACCAGGAAAGTCCACCAGCAGCAGTGCCCAGCTCCCCGTGCCCAGAGCAGGAGGGAAAGGGCTGGGGAGAGAGGTGAGGGGAGCTTCTTAGGGTAACCCTTACTTCAGTGCTGGCTCATAATTGGCAAGGCCTGATATGGGATTTGCAAGGAAATGGTAACTGTTCAGACTGCTGGAGAAAGTTCTCAAGACTGTACCCTGGGACGCCATTCCCACCCTCCCCAGTAGAAGAAAATAAATTAAGGCCCAGATGCCCTCCAAGTTGTCCTTCCCCCGGTGTGATATGTGAGTTTTCCACCTGAGCTCCCGATACACACAAGTCCAGTGCATGTGTATGTTTCACTCACCCAGGGCTGAAGGTAGCCATGACCCAAGACAAGTCCATACATACACCCTGAGAGGGGGAAGTCTAAACTGCAAGTTCAAATCCACACACACGCACCTTGATCTTTTAATCCAGTGCCTGCCTCAGCGTTTGACGTTCTATTTCAACCATTAAGAACAATACTGAAACTAAAATCTTAAGAGAGAGAGGAAGGGGAGGAGAGAGGAGGGGAAGGAGAGTTCTCTGAACACCAAGGGTCAAGATTCAGATTATGCAGGAAGTAGTATAGTAAATAATGTGAAGCCTGCATCCACGCATTTCCACTTAACTGCTGATCTGCGAAGAACGAGGGCAAAGAGCGCCCCATCCGCAGGAACAATTGTTGAAACGGGTGACAGCAGGGGGAGGACGCCTGCTGCCGGAGGGGCTCTGTCATCTCAGCCAACTGGGGCGCTGAGAGCGCCTCACGCTTTAAAACTTTGCTATTTCTTCTTTTAAAAACACTCTTGCTGCTGGGAAGCGTTAGCGCCCCCCCCCCCCCCCCTCCCCAGCTACACAGGACTGGGTTTCTTTTTAGCATTTCAGAACTCCCAAACTTCTTCTCAAGGTGAAAGAGAAAGGAAAAACAAAGTTAAGGCCACTGAAATCGCTCCTCCATAAAAAAATAAAATAAAATAAACCCTGGTGGATCCTCCACCTCCTTTGGGAGCCTCCTGGACTGTTGTAGGCCCCGGGCAGGCGGTAAGGCCAGCGTTGCGGGGAGCAGCAAGGAGGCAACCTTACAAGCGAAGCCGCAGGAAAATTCTGTGCAGCCGGGAACCTAGGAAACTGCCAATGCCTCCTCCACCTTAGGAGAGTCGTCATTCCACCAAAACGCCTTGAAGCGCCAGAACCCCATTCCTCCGAGCCCGGGCGCAGCTAGACCTGCCTAGAAACCTAAGGTTCGAGCTTTGCGGGAACCGTCAGAATCTGGGATGTGGAGAAAGGCGGCTCTCGGGCCTTTCGGGAAATGTGTTCGCTGGCAGAAGGAGCTCCGAGATACCTGGAGGAGCGAAGCCCTTGGGAAGAACCGAGTCTGCGCCGTTTGGAGCCAGCGCCGGGGGCCGGCGGGGAGCCGCGCCGCGGAGGCAGAGCCTGGCCCCGGGCGCCTGGGCCCTCCGAGGCCCCCGACCCGCGGCCCCGCGCCGGCCAGGTGCGCGCCAAGCCCCGGGTCTCCAGCCGCGGAGAGGCGCCTGAAGGACTGCGGTGCAAACACACTCTCCAGACGGTCGAGGCGGCTTCCTCGCCCATTTCCGGGCCCCAGGTTTTTTAAAAATGAAGCACTCACAGCGCTTGGAGCTTTGGCAATGTCTCCCCAGCCCTGGTCCCTCCCGGCCTCCCCCCGACCCCTGGGGCAGCGGGTTCTCCGCGCCCAGGGTGGACTCACCGTGGTGGGTCGGAGGGTACCTCTGCACCGTGGCCCTCACCGAGTTTCCGTAGTAGGACGGGACGTGGTTGCCCTGGCCGTCGATGTTAAAAAGTACATCCACCTCCTCCGGCAGAGGGTACTGCGCCGGGTCCATGTAGGAGTGGCCGAGGCCCGGGTGGTGCGTGTCGGGGTGCTGCCCGTTGAGGACCGCGGGGTGGTGGTGGCTCACCCAGCGCGGCTGGTCTGCCGTCACCTCCATGGCCCCCGGCTGCGCTCGCGCCCTCTCGCTGGGCCCGGAACCCGCGGGTGGAGAGGGAGGGCGGTCGGTGGGTGGGGGCTGCGAGGATCTGCAGGTGAGCTTGCCGTCGGAGGAGCGGGGGCCGTTTAATGATTTTCTCTCAGTATGGGAATGGGAAAGGTGGGAAGGAAAGGTGAGCAAGATATATATCTTGGAGTGGTAGTTTAGCAAAGAAAAGAGGAAGAAAAAAGAAATAAAAATTTAAAAGTACAGGTACAGCAGGATAAAGGCAAATGGGGGCGAGGACGGCTGGAATTCTGCAAGGGAGGCTCTTCCTCAGCGGCTCCGAAGCGGAGGCCCTCCTCGGTCAACCTGCAAAAGAGAGAAGGGGAGACCTGGGTGAGCCCCTGAGTTCTTTGGCACCTGAGTTTATGAAGTGGCACCACCTGCCCTGGAGCCGCCGGCCCGCGCCCCGGGACACGCGCACACACGCGCGCACCTCCCACGGAGCCGGGAAAACCCGGACGCAGCCCGGGAGGGAAAGGCTCCCACAGGTCATCCCCACAGCCCGGCTCTCCCGGGAGGGAGCCCGGGAGGGAGCCTGAGTGAGCCCTTCCAACCCGGACCACACTCCCTCCCTCCTCCCTCCGGGGGACATCGGTCCCAGGACCTTTCTTCCAGCCTCTAGAAACTCTCCCAAAGAAGAGGGTTGAGTTTTAAATGTTGTACAGGTTTTTCTTCCCAAATGCAGAGGAGGGAAAAAAATTAAACTTAAGAAAAAGAAAGGAAAAAAAAGTCGCCGGTACCAACCTGGTTAGCGAGGAGCAGGGAGGAGGAGGAGGAGGCGTGTGACCTGAAGAGCAGAGCAGAGTGCTCCGTCAGATTGCGTGGCTGGTTCTGTCCTGCGCCCTCTCCGTCTCTCTCTTTTCCTGTCTCTCTCCCTCTCTCAGTATTTTTTTTTTTTTTTTTTTTTTTACAGGGAATGCATTCTTTCTGAAAGTATCAAGACGGCGCCAGGCAGCTCAGTGTTCGCAGACAGCTGTGGCGCGACGCAACTTAAGGAGGTTCTAGTGTCATCTGCGAGAGAGGGAGGAGCCTGGCGCTGGCGAGGAGGGGACAGCCTCCCCCGCGCAAGGAAACTGCAACCCAAACCCGCTCCAGGGCTTCACCCCCAACCCCTCCTCTCGCCCCTTCGCTGACCGGAAAGGGGCGCCTCGCAGGGCGGCCGGGGCGGGGAGCCCGGGGGCGGCGGGTGGGCGAAGCGGCCGGGGGCGGGGGCGGGGGCGGGCAGGAGGGGGCGGAGGGGGCGGGCAGGAGGGAATTCGCGCTCTGGCCCTTTAAATGTGGCTCCAGCTCCTGCCAATTCTTTCCGGCTGGGTGGATTATTCCTTGCCGGTGCAACCGGCCTGCTCCATTCATAAACTTAATTTCTACAGACACAGTTGCTTTTTCAGACTTTTTAAGTGGGCAATTAAAAAAAAATTCATTCTGGGGAGTACTGAGAAGTTCATGGACTTGGTGCTCTGAGCATGTAAAACTGATCAGGAAAAAAAAAATTAATGTCCAGGTACTTTGAGATTTGCCTCTGGAGAGAAATATCTACGAGCTGAGAAATCGGGCAAGAGAAACATGCCTTTGATTGAAACTCCGCGTCACTTTTGGGGTCGTTGTCAATGTGTTCCCTGGCCTTTTGAGTTAACAAGCCACCCGAATGTGTCAGCTGTTGCAGCTGTCGTTTTCATACCTAATAGTTGCAATCGAACTGTGCTTTTGAACTCCAGTGGCAAAAGTGGAGATGGGATGGATGGAAAGGAAAGAGGGAGAAAGACTCCAAAATAGCTCCAACTGCAGTGAGGGGTTGGTAAGATGGAACCCGGGTCTTCACTCCAGTTACCCAACTTTTTCCTTACTGACTCCGCTTCCCAGCGCATTTCCCCAGCCTCCTCCAGCGGCCGCGGGACAGAACCGCGGCCACCTCCCCGCGGCTCCAGACTCGGGCCACTGAGCCCCAAACCCCGGGCGGCGGGAGCGCGGCTTGGAAAAGGAGCGAGGCGGGGCGGGGCGGGGCGGGGCGGGGCGGGGCGGGGCTGGAAAAGGAGCCAATCAGCGGGCGAGGCCATGGCCGGGCCGCGATTGGCCGGCCCCGCGGCCTCCAACCTCCGCGGCCCGGCCCGGTCCTTTGAGCCACTGCATCCCCTAGTGGCGTTCAGTCTCCTGCAGCCGCGCGGCCCGAAAAGGCGGCCGGGGCCCGCGCCGGGGTCAGGCGGGAGAAGACTCAGGTCCCACCCTCTGTTCGCCCAGCACTAAGTGTGAGATGGGAGAGCCAGAGTTCTCCCGCAGGCTTTCCCAAGGACGGTACTAAGAGTTTAATGTGGGTTCCATTTGAATGGAAGACATGATTCCCTTTTCGCTCCTCAAATACAAAAATTGGAGCTGGAGGGTTCCTTGCATGCAAAAACATCGATAGTCACATTCAGCCTTAACTTGGTGAACGGGCGGGAGTTGTTTTAATGAACAATCCTTATAGGAAGATGAATAAAATGTATTTTGAATTAAGTAGTGAAAACGTGGGTCCTCTGGGTCTTGGGTTTGGAGTGTGTCTCTTGCGTCTCCATCTTCTTAAAACCTGATGTTTGTTAGAAATCAGTGGGACAGGAGGGAAAAAAATCCCTAAATTATGCACCACCGCCGCCGCCCACCACCCACCCCGTTTCTCCTGAGCCCATTTCGTCCCCGGTTATCAGGGCGGCCGGGCAAAGGAGCATCGATTTTCCTTTCTCTCTGACCGCGGCTCTCTAGGGCCAGTCAAGCTGCCAGCCTCTGCTGCTCACAGCGCTCTCCGAACCTTTTAATTATTTAGTTCCTAACATTCGCCGGAAACCGCCCCGCAAACGGGGACAGATGACCGCGCACACACACACATATTTGCTAAAATGTCCCGAGATTAAGGATGGAAGCAGAAAAAAAAATGAACAGCGTTTCTCCTCCAAGCGTCAGTCCAGGACCAGGATGTATGCTCGCCTGACCTCTGTCCAAAGCTACCCCAGGCCTGGAAGCCGGGAAGGAAAAGGGAGCCCCTCCTGTGGAGAGAAGGGCTGCCCGCGCCACAACTTGAAAATGTTAACTTCTGAGGCAGAAAGCGATGTTTAAGAGACAAAGAGAAAAGATTTGTGAGAAGGAGGCCTTCCGGTGCAGCGGCGCCGCTCTGATAACCTACCATCCTGAGGTTGGGGGGGGGCGGGGAGGCATTATTCGTTTTAATTAAATCACACGCACCCAAGTCCGGCTGCACTGGGATGGAGAACCCCACCTCCCCCCACCCCGACCACCCTGAAAAAATAAAAGATCTGTGAGGCCCCTCCAGGTCTGGGTGGCTGGGAGCCGGCCGGGAGGCGCGGGGGCTGCGGCTGGATGCCCGGTGTAGTGGAGCCAGCCTGTAGGGGGTATTTAACATTTAATTCCCAGCCGGTCCGCCCCTGTTCCCGGACTGACAGTGGGTAATTGGGAAAGAGGACGTTGCTCTTTTGATGGCCCGCGCCGGCCAGTCTCGCCGACGCCACACTGTGTTTGACGTCACGGGCCCAGCCCCAGAGCCGGGAGCACAGAGCAGGGGGGTCGGGAGGTGGAGGGGGGGGAGGAGGAGGAAAAAGGAGAAGAGGAGAGGGATCCCGGGGAGGGTGGGCCGAGGTCGGCCTCGGGACCCACGGGAAGGAAGGGGGAAGGGAGCGCGGCTGGAGAGAGGCTCCGGCGCTTGGCCTGAGGCGGAGAGCCCGGCTGCGGGGGTCTAGGCTGGGCCCGGCGCCGGCTAGACCGGCCTCGCCGGCAAATGCAGGCTGGGCTTCCTCCTCCGGGGGAGGGCGGGAGAGGGGAGGGGAGGGAGGGGAGGGGGCTCGAGGCCGGGGGAAGGGGAGACAAGGTGGTCCTGACTCCCCTCTGCCATACAGAGCCCGCAGAGCAGATCCTGGCCTCCCGCGGAGACGCTCAGCGCCCCTCGGCAGACCTGACAGCCCCTTCCCCGGGCACCTCTGCTCAGCTTGCCTACGAGCCCCCCTTCTCCCCGGAGGAGAGAGCGAGAAGACCCAGGAGGATGCTGTCGCCCTGGGCTCCAGTAGGGCGCGAGGCCTCCCTCACCCGGGTAAGGGGCAGGCGGATGGCTTGGATGCCTGGGACCCTGAAGGCAAGCAAATCCCGAAGCCAAGCAGACAGCGGCGCAACCACTGCCCGCCTACCCTCGCCCCCACCCCCCACCCCCAGGAGCCGAGTCTGAGCATGGGGGGCGGCAGGAGCCAATGTGGCCTATTTGCAACGCCGCCGGGCTTCCAGGCGGCTGCCGTAGGCATCAAGTTGAGTTAGGTGTGTGTGCCCTCTTGGGGAAAGGGTAAGAAATGGAGCCTTCCTTTTTCCCCTCGGTTGGGCTACATTGGGACCCATCCCCCATCCCCCAAACACACGCGTCCCACCTATCCGCCCTTCCTGCTGCCGTAGAGACTCAAGTCGAGATAGACGTGGGGAGCCCAGCCCCGCCAAGGAACCCGAGCCCCGCAGCGCAGAGGGGAGGAGCGTGCCCCCCCCCCCCCGCCCCAGGCTCACCCAGGACTCAGGGATCGGAGATCCACGCGGGAGCGGCTCCCACCGAGCCTGGCGCCGGGCGCGTCCAGGCGAGCTCCGCGGGGCCGAGGTCCTGGGAGCCGCGGCCCGGCCGCCGCGCCGTCCGCGGAGAAGGGAGGACACCCAGAAAAGCTGAGCCTCGGGGTCGGAGTCATAAAGTTACTACTAATTCCGAGCCGGGGAGCGAGCGCGCCGCGGGCCGCCCGGGGCGGTCATTGGAGCGTGTTTACTTAAGGGCTCTGCGAGCGCAGCGCGCGCTGAGCAGTCGGGTTCCCAGCAAATATTTGCCGGCGGGAGAGAGGGGAGCGGAGCCGGCCGCGCCGCCGGGCCCTCCCCCCGGAGCCTCGGCGCCGGCCTGGGCGGACCCGGCCTCCCAGTGTAAAGACTGAAATGGAGCCGGGAACCTGCGGGACCGGGGGGCTGGGGGAGGGCGCGGAGCGACGGCAAAGGCCAGACACCGGAGCGCAGCCCGGAGGCCCCAGCCCGCCGGTGCTGAGGGGGGAGGAAGGGGGCGGAAGGAGAAATCACTGCCCCATGCCAGCGCGATCCATCTTCGGTCAATAAAACATGGTGTGAACGGGCCGCGGTGGCCGTGCGTCTGGGAGGAAGTGGAGGCCGGAGGTGCCGAGGCCGGCGCCGGGCCCGCACCAGCTGGGTTCGCACCCGGGGCAGGCGGTCAGCAACCTCCGGGCCGGCGGCGGCGGCCAGTGCGTCGCAGGGAGCCTAGCGCAGCCCCGCGGGACATTTCATTGGGCAACTCCACAGTCGTTGTGGCCATTGTGAGGGCAATTAGCGAGAGACAATCACCTCCAAGAGGCGTTTGAATTCGATTCCCTCCGCCGGGGGCTGCCGCCGAGACCCGGCGCTCGCGAAGAAGAAGAGCCTGGGCTGGGAGGAAAGATCTGAAGCGTCGGCTCCCT